TAAAAATAAGATTGCCCAGATACATGAAGGGTGGATTACAAATTACAAAACCAAAAAGATTAGTAATAATATTTGTCTTCTGCTAGACATGATACCAAAATAAATTTTGGAATCGGAATAGTTAATGATTTGGCCAGATGTTAAACCATATCTATCTAAAAGATCCTTGAGGATTTAAAAATTGAACAAAATACCTTTGCAAAATACCACCAGATCATCTACATACATTTCACGAGAGGGATTCAACATATTTATAACACCCTTTATTAATGACAAATTACTACTATTAAGAAAATCAATGATGCATTTAATAAGATCTTCCTTATCTATACAAATTAATAAATGTGAGAGGGTCACCATGCATCATTGTTCGAACTGCAGTAAAGCGGCAAGAAACAAAAATTTAGTTTTGGAAGGATTCCCTCTAAGATTTATATCGTCTCCACAGGGATCGGTTCAAGGGAAAGAATATTGTTCAATAGTCTCTATATTTCTAAGTTTATGGTTACAAAGTGGTTGAAATATCAAAGGTACAATAGATAAAGGCAGAAAATATAAAGACGGAAAAATATAAAGTAAAGACTGAAATATAAACAGAGCCTTATTGGGATTGGATCTCATCAATTGCTAACACATGCATTCTTCTAACCAGTTAAACACAAATCAATCATTTGTCTAATACCCTCACATATCACCAATAATCGAGGTTATGTCTAACACAAAGTCGAGCGAACAACCACATTGCCTCATTGGTGATGTCCCACGCAACGCAACAACACAGAGCATTAAGAACTGATACTCATGCAAATGCTAAGCCTAAATCCATGTCTAAAGTCTATAACCTAATAGGTATTCAAAGATGACACCTATGTCAGATTCATGATTGATTAACATAAAACACCGTGATCAGAATATGTACATAGCTTAACCCTTTTTACATGCATTCACCTAATTTGTCAAACGTATGTGAACATAGTTCTTCATCACTATTATCACGCATCCTCACAATACTGTTCGCATCAAAAACGTTATCATGGTCTTTACCGTATTAATCCTACTCATGCTACTAATCAAGACAATAAAATAAAAGTGATACTAGTGAATATCAACTTGCAAGACTATGTCAAAAGTTTGCCTATAATAGATGAGTATTTAAGATCTAAGATTTGAAGAAGTTTTGTCAAGAGACCAATAAATAAGAAATTAAAGACAACATCAATATTGAATCAAAACTAGTTCACAATACATATATTAGATGAAATACATAAGGTATCAAAATATTACATCTAAACCCAACAAGAGATCGAAGATCTTACCTTCTCCCCCTTAGGGTTTGTATTTCTCTCTTTAAAATATGCTTGAAACGAAGATAGATAAAGTTCTGATATGAAAAATATCTATCTCTCTCTAAAAAAGTGAAAAAGTACATATATAGTAAAACAAAAATCTGTCATGTTCGCCCAGCGAATACTACTACTTTTGAGCACTTCAAGTGCCTCAGGATTAGTTAAACCGACATTGGAAAATATATGAGTCCGCTGTGCCAACACTTCTTCGCACATCGAACTACTTCGCTTCAACTTTGCCTAGGAAACTTCGGGTCCTTTTCCTACTGCCTCTAAACTGAGTTGGTTCGCTGGGGCTTCGCTAGAACTTAGTCCAACAAATATTCGTTGGTTGCTTGCTGGTGTTCACACAGCAAACATGCTGATTCCTCTTTATTTCTTTGACTTCCTTGTCCACTCCTTTGTGTCTTAATCTTTGATGTTTTATGCATATATTCTGCACAACAACATACACATCAATGAATCCAAAGATATTTGCAATATAATTGAAAGATCATACAAAAACAAGAAATAAATCTATTAAAACATGAGAATTGAGTTGAAAAGTGCCAAGAAAGATGGTTCAATTTATGTCAAAATTTGCACTTAACAATCATACCATTTTGACGCTTAAAGAAACCAACATCCTTACCATAAGCAAATATAAATATGTTAGGTGAATGAAAAATATATTGAATTCAATTACATACCTAAGAACTGAAATCAAAGCATTTAAGAACACTATCAATAAATGATCAATCAAGCATGTCAAAAGTTTGACTAATATTAATCTTGAGAGCCAAGTTACCTCTAAAAGTTCTTTGATACAATATATTGATGGCTCAAAAGCAAGGGAAATGCAACACCAATATAACTACCTACCTTTAACGGAACATCTCAAATGAAGAGAAATAATATTGGGCATAGTTAGAGTCAATATATCAACAAACACTTTAGTGATGATTTTGAATTTATAATTGGCAAGAGAAATAAATCTTTATATTCCATTATCAGAAACCTGATTATGCTCAAAGAATTGAAAAATAGATATGAAGACATCATTACAAACAATATCCCTATAATGTTGAAAGTAATAGGCCCTAAAACTAATTTTAAATATTGAGCCTCTAATAAAAATTACATTTTTCTTTAAAAATAATCTTTTATTAATAAGTTGTATTTATATTATATGGCAATCAATAACAAAAATAAAGGATGTCAACTTTCATTCGCTAGTGGGGATTCTTGCGGAGACTTCTTGTTCGAAGCCCCAATGATGACTATTTTCCCCTCGGGGGATAATGACAAAATTATCTCGAAGTCACTTTAGGGACGGAGATAGGGGGCATATTCCCCTCTTTACCGAGTCTTTACACCATTAATAGGATTAGGTATGTTCTTACATTTTTAGCCATATGACATGGTTTTTTTTTTACAGTTGTATCAATAGAAAGCATCAACGCCATTTCTTTGAGATGGTGGTTGTTGCTTGGCAATTAGGATAATTCAGACTCTTGAAGGGTTCCAATCTTAATTCGGTTCACAACATTGCAGTTTTGATTCTTTAATAATTTGCCAAATGGCTTTAAAACGACACCGATTTCTTTTTGTTGTTTGAAAAAAGTACAAATTTTTTTCTCTTGTCTTCGAGATTCTTCTTCAATTCAGAGGTGAGTAATCATACTCTCGGTTGAAAATAATTTTGTTTTGTGGTGAAGCAAATTTCTTAAAAACTTTCAAACTAGAGACAATTTTTCAATAATAAAAGCAATTTGAAATTGTTTATTCAAAGACATACCTTCAGTGTGATCTCGTGTGCAATCTTTTGTAGTTCATAATATTGAGACTCCATATATCTTTTATCAACCATCTGATATTTTAGGTAGCAACTTATATCATAATTCTTTGCTATAGCCTATCCAATATCACACTTATTTTTCAAAGCTTCCCAAACATGTTATGTAGTGTCACACTTGTTGTAATAATCATACAAATCATCTACAAGTCCATTCAAAACATAATTTTTGTAGAGATAATCATTCTCTTTCTATAATCATTCTCTTTCTATAAGATGATTTCTTTCGTCAGCTATAAATCTTTGTCTTTAATTTGTGCAGCAAATTCAAATTCATCAGAATTATTTGTTCCATCTGAGTCTATAGATTTCTTACTGTTAATTTGCTTGTTTGATTCAGAAGGAACAATAGGAATGTCATCGGTCAAAATATTTTGCAACCTTTTTTAAGGTTAAGAAAAATCACATTTTTGCTACTTACATTTGAATTGAATTCCCTCAAACTTGAATGATTTGTTAGAGACAACAACGTAAGTACCAACAATTTCATCAGTAGCCATGAAAGTTTAAAAACATTTTAAAATTGTTGTATTACGTTTTGAAAAAATGTCCCTGGAAATATTATCAGGTCTAGTCGCAGACTAGGTTGCTCTTTTTAAGACGATTCGCAACACTGTCCAAAATTGTGCAAGTTAGACGATCAACCAAAATGCCTCCAGAATAAAATATTTTTGTTTTATATTGTATGATTACTACTTGCACAATATATAATTGGTCTAGAAATACACCTTCTAATGACACAAAAACTACTCTAAATTATTTCTGACAAAGAGAAATTCAAATAATTTTCTATAGAGAATTTAATAATGGTCGTTTGACCACTCTAAATAATTTTTCAAACGAAGAGAAACTCAAATAATTATCTAAATACAATTCAATATTAGTCGTTTGAACACTCCAAATAATTTCTCAAACGAGAAGAAATTTCAATAACTTTTCAAATAGAACTCAAGAAAAATATTTAAAAAATTCAACGAATAGAAAGAGAAGCGAAGAAATCGGTGCTTTAACAATTCAAGAATGCGGAGTAAAGAGAATGAAAAAGAAAGAATTCAAAAGTAGTTTTTTTTTGTTTGGAAATAAAATGCGTGCATTTTTTATATAATAAAATAAGCTAACTGACTTGAGAAAAAAAAGGACTAACCAAAAAAATGCAATATAACCAACGTGAGACTTAAAATTTTTTTTTTTTTTTTTTATAATTTTTAAATTTTATATATAATGCTAAAAAAATTATTTTGTATAAGTTAAGCATTATGAATTATAATATTTTCTCAATTAACACACAGACACATAAAATTTTCTAACAACATATAAGTTAAAAAAATTGCTTTTCAAATTTATTTCCAATTTGAAATTTACACACGTTTCAACAAATTTTCATGATATATTTAAATAATATATAAGTTTAAATTTATATGTTGGTTTATTTGTTCATTTCATATACTTTATTTTATAAAAAATATAGAGCATATAGAAAGACCGTCTAATTAAATCAATTTATTTGATATTTGTATAACAATATCAAATTGCAAGGGTGCGAATTCACACCTTGCAACATCGCTTATACACATCAACTAAGATGTATTTTACTTGTGTTGAAGTTAGGTATGAAAGTGAACACTCGAGAAAATTGGTTCCTATAACCCATATGAATTAAGTGATTTTTGTATGTTCCCTTATTCTCCATTAAACAAACGACATTCCTTTCTCAAACTTTGGAGGAACTTAAAGGACTAAAAGAAAGAAAAGTAGAACCAAACTATGACCGAAGAAAAACAAGAGTGTGATCACCAATTTATACTACTAGCAATCAAATCCTAACCAAAGTAATGTTGAGAAGTGCAGTTTGGGCAGTGCATAGACTCCGGTGATTTTGTTTTAAGAACTGGATTGCTCTCAAAGAAATGAGTGGGTCTCAGCTCAAATCCACCAGTCAAGGTTGGCATAACTGGAAAATCTTCCTGAGAAGGAACATGATGAAATCCCATGGTGTACCATAATACTATGTCCTTGTTCTCAATCTCTCTATCCCTACACATCCAATTCAACATATCAAAACATGAACAATTTTCCACACATATTTTTACGCAAATTGGTTTCTGATTTAATAACTGACTAACCTGAGACTCCAAACTGCTAAAGTATCGTCGCCTCGACTATGATCAACATATGATCCTCCAGCCCATTTCTCACTTTTGTTGTATGGTGTCACCCACACATTATAATTAGTGAATGCCCCTCTAATTTGTGGATAATCATCACTTGCCAAAAGTGGATGCACAACTGAGCCTGGAACCAAACGGTACCCAATTGTATTTCCTAGTTTTGTTTTCTTATTAGGATTCACCACTACTAACTCAGAAGGCTTCAATCCAATGTTAACTCTTGCATCACTTTCTGTTTTTGCTGTTTCCTTTACAACAGTCCAATAACTTTTCCTTGGTGTTTTCTGATCTTTCACTCTTACTGTCTCTAAATTTTCCTTGACAAATGAGTTGGCTTCACCATCAATGTCAAGGTCAAGATAATAAGTAATGAAGTGGTCATGGTAGACGCCAATGGTGTTATCAGCTAGCAATGTGCCATACATGTCTTCTTTGATATGATCTGTGTTGGTGTATGTCCCTGCCTTAACCTCTAATATCCCAGTAAGCCCAACCTATATCAAAATATAGTATGCAGTTAGTTTTATTTAACAATATGGTATAAAACATTTAGTGTATAAATTTATGAATCATACCCCAAGTTTAATGCTACCACTTGGCTTAAACTCCCAATCAATGACATAATCATAGTTTCCCACAGTTGAAACTGCTCTTACTACTAGACTTACATCAGACCTGACTTCAGTTATCTGCCACAAACACAAATATTTATACACAAATGAAATTCAAAAAAATAAAATTTAGTGTAAGTCTTTTCTAAGAACATAGAAATCACCACTTCATTTGGGATTCCAATTTCTGTGTGACGCCACATGATATCACCGGCATACTTCTCAAATATGCAGAAAGCATTAGATATCATAACAGGAGTACCATCTGAACTAGAATAATATGCATCCATGAACACAGCATTTGCAGGACAATCAGTGAAAGGTTGTAATGAAGACATAGACTGTCCAAAACCAGATTCACCAGAATCAAAGTATGATGTGTAGTACCATTCCTCAGTTGGGTCTTGGTATGTAACAAACACTTCTGATATGAATCCTTTGTATAATACCTCGCGATATTTCTGCTTCGCTAGATCATAAATTGATGCCAGAGATATTATTGGGCCAGCCCGAATATCGAATCCCAAATGAAAGACCCAATTGGCCCAACTGATCACAGAAAATGGTCACTGTCATTCATCAAGCAACATTATCAGCCTCTATGATTGTGTTTGTGAAAGTATGATAAAATAGAGTCGAAAATAGTACTTGACTAGATAAGATGTTTAGCTAGAGTACAAGAGAAAATGGTCCACTATCTAAATATATTTAACCTTACCTGATGGAGTGACCTTGGATGGTGAATCCAGGTCCATCATGTTGACTGACAGCCATGTCTTTAAGCTTTGGACCAAACGGTGGTTTCATCTTCGAAGCTCGATACTCAGTACCTTCACCTTTCGGCACTGGGATCACATGTTTATCAGAGTAACCAACAATTTTCATTTCATCAAGATCAACCACAGCTGACACACCCTCCAATGGTCTCATATACAAATTAGCAGAACCCTTCATGTAATAGCACTTAATTATCAATGTCCTTTTGGTGTTTTCCTCTCCAAACCAACCTACTGTGAAAGTGGAACACAGAACATGAGATATGTTAAGACCTCTTTTGTTTATAGAATGTTTAAACGGTTCATAGGTGAATGGTAACAGTGACGCAATGATTTGTTCATCAAAGGTAAGCATAGGGTAACCGTGTCCTTTGTAGATTTTTGTTGAGATTATGGAACGAGTTGGGAAATCTAGTGTGATTTCGAGGGACTGTTTATGAAACCTGGCTATGACGAAAGCTTGACGAGGTGGTGGTGGTAGAGTTTTGGTTTTTGAGGATAGCCATGATTGGATAACATGTTTGTCTGGTTCGTGTAATCCTACGTATTGAAAAGTGAGGTTGGTGTGTTTGGCTGAGGTTTGATATGATTTGTGGATTATGGTACGGACTAGGTTGAGTTCTGAAGGGGTGAGAGGGTCTAATGGGTGAGGATGAATGCATTCTATAGAGCTACATAAGAGCATGAGGAGAAAAAAGAGAAAGAAGAATATAAACTTCATCTTGATCCCTCCGATTGTGGTGAGGTTTTTGGTCAAACAAGTCTGGTAGTTTATTATGAACCATTTGTATATACAGCATATTTCAAGAACTTAATTATTTTTTGGGAAAAACTAAATTGAATTGTAATATAAACATGCTTTAATACATTGTACTAATAAAGTCTAAGGCCTATTTTCTTCTAAGTGATATAGTATAAAGAAAGTTTAAATGTATCTATTAGAGAAAAGTGTGTATCAACTTTCTCTTAATATATCTAGAATATTCTATAAATGAGTGTATTTGTTGTGAATCAGTTTTTTTTATAAGAAATACATAAGAGTTAGAATTAACAAAGAAAACAAGATAAAACAACAAGGAACAACAATGATGGATTATAAATTGTTACTCTTTCCTTTCACTTAGAAACAAAATTACAAGTATATAAGAATAACAAAATAATCTCCCTCTCTCTTGAAATTAAAATTTTATCTTCCTATTTTTTCTTATACCAAGATGAGAGACTAGCATGTTATTTATAAGAAAATTTGCACACTAACCTAACATGCATTAGTCAATATTGCTAAGTTTATTAGCATGTTGAATTGGGTCTTACTTGTAAGCCCAATTGTTTAAGTTAACTTGTACCCTAAGTTAGCTTGTAATGGGTAATTGTTAAAAAGCCCGTTAGGTTAATGTGCAAACTGAAGAGATCTTATACGGACTGAAACAATCACATCGACAATGGAATATGAGATTTAGCAAGTTCATGGCACGCATAAGTTTCATCAGAAGTCAGTTCGACCACTGTGTTTACTTCAGATTTTGACCTGGTAATTCATTTGTTATTTTGTTGCTCTATGTGGATGATATTCTAATAGCAAGCAACAATGTCGAAAATGTAATGAGGGTGAAGACTGAACTCAATAAAGAGTTCGACATGAAGGATCTAGGAGCTGCGTTCAGGATTCTTGGGATTGACATCCGAAGAGATAGAAAGCAGTCGAAATTATATTTATCTCAAGAGCATACCTACGGAAGATTCTCGAAAAGTTTGGTATGTCGAATTCAAAGTCTGTTATGACTCTAAGAAACCCTCAATTCAAGTTGAGTATAGATCAGTGTTCCAGCACTGATGTCAAAAGAACTTATATGAATAACATTATATATGCTAATATAGTTGATTTTTTGATGTATGCTATGGTCTGTACTAGACCCAACATAACATATGCAATAAGTCTTGTAAGTAGGTACATGGCAAATCCTGGATAGGCTCACTAGCAAGCATTGAAGTGGATTCTAAGGTACATAAATGGGTCTTTGAATAGAGTCTTAATTTATGGTGGAGCCTTGGGTGAAGATAGTAAAGCAGCAATCAAAGGATATGTCAACTCTGATTATGCAGGTTGTATGGATTCTAGAAAATCTATTTCTGGATATGTGTTCACTATGTTTGGGACAACAATCAGTTGGAAAGCTAGAATTTAGAAGGTCGTTGCCTTATCAACCACTGAAGAGGAATATATCACCCTAACTGAAGCTGTGAAGGAAGCATTGTGGCTTGAAGGTTTTGCAAAGGAGCTGAAACTTCAAGGCCGGGTTATCACTGTTAAATGTGATAGTCAAAGTGAGATACACATGTCAAAGAATTCATCCTATCATGAGCGAACCAAGCACATTGATGTGAGGTTGCATTTCATCAGAGGGGTAATCGAACGTGGAGAAATCCAAGTGCTGAAGGTTTCAACAGATCATAATATTGTTGATATGATCACCAAGACGTTGCCCATTTGCAAGTTTTTCCAATGTATGCAGTTGATAAAGCTGCATGAAGAAAGCTAGTTTCTTGATGTTATAGAGTTAGATCCAATGTGGAGATTTGTGAGACATTGGATTGAACTCTAGTATGGTCAAAGTCTGTCCGCGAGTAATGCGTGTTGTTGTCAAAGTTTGTCCTAACATGCATTAGTTAATATTGCTAGGTTTGTTAGCATGTTGAATTGGGCCTTGCTTGTAAGCCCAATTTTTTAAGTTAGCTTGTACCTTAAGTTAGCATGTAATAAGTAATTGTTAAAAAGCCCATTAGGTTAATGTGCAAGCTAACTTAAACAATTGGGCCTACAAGCAAGACCCAATTAACAAACATACCAATATTGACTAATGCATGTTAGAACAAACTTCGACTACAACACGCATTACTCGCGAACAGACTTTGACCATACTAGAGTTCGATCCAATGTCTCACAGTATTAATTATACCCTTTAAAATAATTGTGGATAAAACTATTATTAGTAGTTTCTGGGGTTAGGGAGATGTGGGTTGGTCTCATATTAAATCTAAAGGTCAATCTGGAGGGTTAATCTTTATGTGAAAGGAGGAGAGGTTTTTTTTGGTTTAAAAGTTAAATGGAAGGACAATAATTATTATGTTGTAAACATTTATCCCCTGTAACGTAAATCAGAAGAGGAAATTATGGAGAGAGTTAATCGAATTAAAGAAGAAATTTGTAGATGGGGAGTCGTGTTTAAGTGGAGATTTCAACTTTGTTGTTAACATGAAGGATGGGGAATGAGAGTGGTTCTTGCAACAGTTCATCAAAAATAAGAGATTTTAAATCTTTCATAGAAGAAATGGATCTTATAGACATGTCAATCAAGAGTAACAAGTTTAGTTGGTATAGTGGTGATGGGAAGAGTATGAGCAGATTAGACAAATTTTTATTATCTAGCCCTCTTATAGACAAATGGGGGTTGTTGGTCAACTAATAGACAAGAGGAATATTTTCGATCATTGTCCTATTTGGTTAATGATAAATAACATTGACCAAATAGGAGTGGCATAACTTCATAGTTGAGGGGAGAAGTGATTATGTAATTAAAGAAAAATTTAAGCTTTTAAAAGGGAATCTCAAGAGGTGGAACTTAGAGTTTTTGGTTGGATTGATTTGAAGGTCGAAGATGGAACGACATAAATTAATGAATTGGATGATCTATTAATTAGTTACAATGAGGAGCAGGTGGATGAGTTAGTTATAAGAAGATGTAATGCTGCAAGTTTGATATGGAAGAATTTGGTGATGAAAGAAAACATGCTTTTACAAAAGTTAAGATTGAAGTGGACTAGAGAAGGTGATATGAATAACAAATATTTTCCCAACATTTTGAAGGGGAGAACAAGAAGGAAATATATTGGGTTTATTAAAATTGAAGGATGGGTGCTAGAATCTTTTAGAGAAGTGAAGGATGGGATTAGAAAGAACTTCAGAGAGAATTTTTTACCAAATCAGATATTAACAGACCAAGTATTGATGGCATTGAGTTCAGAAGTCTGTCTCTCACTAAAAACAATATTCTAGAAGAACCTTTCTCTGATCAAGAAATAAAGAATGCAGTGTGAAATTATGAGGGATCAAAGAGCATAAGTGTCATACCTTGAAAAATACGATCATTTGCGATGGTCGCGGAAAAATAATTCAAACAGAGTCTCCACCGAAATTTATTTATTCCAATGAAGGAATAGAAAAATATCTATAAAACCTTTAAGAAAGAAATTAGTCGTCGCAACCATATTCGGGTTTGGGAGTCGATTACACAAGGGGAAGATATTAGCACCCCTCACGTCCGCTGTACTCAACGGGAATCTCTTAGTTAAATTTGCAATTGAATGTTTACTTATGCTGATTATTTTCTTTGAATAATAAAAAGTGTAAAGAGAAAAGAAAGAGGTCGCAAAAAAGTTTTATCTAGGGTGCTTGACGAGATTGCGGGTCTCGCTGCTACGTATCCTCAGGTGTTATAAGTTAAAGCTTCATAGTTCAGGGAGAAGGCTATGGTTTATGTTTTTTAATGAACAAGTGTTTAGATCACATTATAACGGTTAAATATTTACTTGTCTACTCTCGGTGGAGGCTTAAGAACTAGTTATTATTCGCATTAGAATGGACTAAACAATGCTATTTTGAAAAAAAATATTTTAGTTGTGGGTCGCATGGGGGTGAGTAATTAGGTTTGATTTGTTTCGATCGCACGGGGGTGAGAAAATAAAAATTTGATTGGTTGAATATCTCTTAGGCTAAAGACGATTATCCAAACATGGAGCTCTAAAACAATGTTCAAATAATCGGGGAAGGAGAAAGTCTACACCACCCTTCCTTTTTCTTCTATAGGATAATCAAACTCAATTCTAATAATTAAAGTGTTTTAGAGTGGAAGAAGAATATTCAAACATAGAGCCCTACAGTATTGTTCAAACATTCGGGGAAAGAAAAGGTCTGCACCACCTTTCCTTTTTTCAACCAAGTTATTGAGAAAATGAGTTGAAAGAGTTACATTGAGTACGAAAAGAGCTTGACGTTGGATCAAATATTTAATTATCGTTTGAATGGATCATGGAAAATGATTTTAAACGCATCTGGTTTAAAGGTTCATTTGGCATTGTACCAAGGTTTTAAAAATTCCCACTTGGCATTGGACCAATGGGTCTTTCAATATTAAAAAAAAGTTAATTAAGATTAAATCCTCTACAAACATCAATTATTCAATTAACATCTTAAATAAATGTTAGCAAGCATACTTAATAACTAAAGCATTTTATATGAATAAAGGTAGAAAGTAAATGAACATGTAAGAAAAATAATCATGGCAAGAAAGAATTATTCAAGGAAGAATTAATTAATTAACTCTATTTTTATTAACTATTAAATTTATCTCTTTAATCATATTAATTTATTAATGAAACAAAAAAATTCATTATCTAATTAACTCAATTAAAAAATATATTCAACTAATTAATATAAACACAATTAATATTAATTAATCATATCACAAATAAATAAATAAATGAGAATAAAACAAGTCCGAGAAAGCCGACCAGATTTAGCTAGACAATAAAGTTAGAAATAAGTGTCATACCCTAATTTTTACCTCTAAGATTCCACCTCATTTACATCTTTGCAATTAAGATCATAAACTTGATTGTCTCCTAACCCTCTCATCTTTGGGTTTGCCTTTGCAGAGATCATCA